TCTGTTACAGTGTTTAAACAACAAATGGTGTCTACTGTATATGGAGAAAAAGTGATCTGAACCAGAGAGAGGAAGTACTGGCTAGACAGATACGTTACACTGTCCACCCAGTGCTGGTAACCAAACAAACCATAAAGGTAAAAAACCATCACCCCCATAGGGGCCCCATACCTGGGGAAGAGCCGCGACTCTGGGACTTTTATCTTTGCTGTGGCTGAACGGTGCAAACAAGTGTAGTGGCTCTTGTCTGCTGGTGTATCTCTGCTGTATTCAAGTCTGAAAATCCCACAGGATGACCTGTCAGGTTGCCTTTTTATCCTTTTAACAGAGGGTAATCACACATGCTGTATATAACAAAGAAAAAGAATAAAGCATGCAAAGTCAAAAACATACATAATGGAAAACGCCAAGATGAAAGTTTCAAATGCAAGCTGATTTTGTCCCGTCATGCCTAACTTGTTGTGATAAGTACTTTTATTTTACAGCCATTGATTCATTTGCTCATGGGGCCTCAGGCTCACTTTGTGTACTGAGCAGGCTGTGCTCAGTTTTTGCTTTCCTCCCACTCAGACAGGGAGCCCAGAGCTCCTCAGCTCATCGCTGGTAAAACTGACTTGTTTTCTTTTGAGTATTTTTCACTGCTGTAGGGAAGTGCATCACTGCAATGTGAGTGAGCAGCTGCTGCAGTCTGCTGCAGGGGTAGAAGACTGATATGTAGACAGATTTTGGACATATGTGTTCTGGCCATACACTTTTCAAGGGACCATTTGAAATGCTTAAGGCGTGATTTCACAGATAATGCAATTTTATTTTGCACTCGGTTCTGAAAACCAATTCTGAGGTTGCCAGCTCACGTGTAAGAAGATGAGCTAAAAACAATGACTGATGGTAAGCAACTGGTTTAAGTAACTTGCCTATATTACATTGTCTGAAGAGAAAGCAGTGTCATCACTTTTAAGCTCCTTGTGTATGTGTGCATCTATGTGCACAATGACTCTATATATAGACAGAAACATAGTGGTAATGAACAAAAACATTTGAAAACTTTGTGTCAGGTGATCCAAAAGAAAACCCGAGATCTGCTTTTGTGATTTTATGGATTGTGTACTTGAACTGACTACTGTTGGGTTGCCCCTGGCATGGAAGCATTTAAAAATCATGTTTTTCAGGTGCAATCAAAGGAATTAATTTTTTTTTTCAGAAGTACTCATTAGACAGAGATAAACTTCTCTAAGTTTACTTAGAGAACTAAAACTTGGAGTTATTTGGAGTCTGATGCCTTAAGAAACAATAAATATCCCAGTATTTGTGATCCTTTTGGAAGTGCTGGCAACAATGCAAGGCTTGGTGATTCTGCCATGTAAGGCAATGTAAGTCCTTGCTGGTCAGTGGATCTGACCTCTACCACAGTTGTTTATCGACCCAAGCACACACCAATTTAGGTATTCAAGCCAGTGTCAAATATGTTGAGCAGTCACGGTTTCTCTTGACAACAACTAGTGTATCACATGCTTAGTACTACCAAGCTTTGGTTTCAGAAGTCCTACAATGAGTACCCAGACATAGGGGTCTCTAGGCTGATGGTGGATTGAAAAGAGTAGCAAGCAGCAAGGAGAAGCAAGCACTGTCCAGCCCAGAGGAGAGCATGGACAAATCAGAAAGAAAATAATAAAATAATTAAAACTGAGAAGCAATTCCCAGTTTGGTTTGCCCAGGTATATTGGTGTTTTCACCATCCCTCTGCAACTCAGGCAGAGGCAACTTCCAGCAGGAGGGTGGTCAGAGCACTCATTTCTTAAACTGCTGAGACTAAACTCCCAAGAAGGAACAAAAACCCTGAAAGTGTAATGCTTTAGCATTGTAAGACACATTCCTCCTACAGTGAGCTAATAGCTTAATGTAATGTAAATTACAGTAAAGGATGTAAGAAAGGCAGGGCACAAAAGGAAGAGGAGAGAAAATTGTACTGGTAACAACATGTAATTCCAAACTATGAGTGTAATTATGGGATTTAAATTTCTGCAGGGTTTGGGGATTTTTCTTCATATCATTGTTCTGCTCTTTCTGTAATTATGTGGTTATACTCGACTGCACAGTGGCAAGAAATAAAACTAATTGCTGTTCTTATTGGAGGGTAGCGGACTGAAACCATGACTTCTGTTTATCACCTCCAGGTAACAAAAATTGTATGAAAAGAACTCTTTCAGGCAGCATTAGCATCTTTCTTCTCTCTCTCTCTCTCTTTTATACAAAAGCAGCAGGTCTGACGAGCAACATAACAGTGAAATCTGTCTGCTGAGTCAGATGCTCAGTTACAAACTTACATAATTGGAGTGTATTTCCATATTCCCTCCCTCCTTTCCTACCCACGAGGCACAGGCAGAAAAAAGGACTGCTCCAAGGATGCTCACAGTAGTGAGCAAGGAAGCCTCAATGTCACAAGTTAAAAAAGTAAAACATCTTAACATCTCCACATATAATTAAATACTGTACTAAGTCAGCAAAGCAGGGTCTGCTACCCAGTGGCACTAGAACCCATATACTGCACAGAGGCATCCTGAAACTCTGCTGTTTCTGGGAACACTCAGTAAATAAGAATTTGGTTAAACAGTAACACACAGGATGGTTTTGGGTTGGAAGGGACCTTAAAGATCATCTCGTTCCAAACCTTTATGGAGACCATGGAAGGGTCTGGTGTCATTTCTCCATTTTCAGAAAAGTACTTCTAAGTACATGGAGGATATTATTAAAGAAAATCTAATTATTGCAGCATTTCAATGCCATTTTCTGACTCTGGTACATTCTGTGATTTCTCAGGCTGTTACTTTTTGCAATGTTATGGTGTAAATGTCTGCTAAAATCCCAGAGCTCTACCACATAAAACTAATTTACTAGCAACTTCATCTGGCAAGTAAGCAGAAATATCAGTAGTGTATTTGGAAAGAAGTGCTTTATGTTCATAGATGGCATGTTCCTCATTGACTGTTTCAACCTACAACAGATGTACGCACAGCTTCAGCCCTGTGGACTGTATGCTCTCAAAGTTGCAATGCTCTTTGTTAAAAAACAGGTACAAGTACAAGAAATACTGAAAGAAAAACATAAACTAAGAAACAAAGACCAAAGAGAAAATGAGAAGGTGAGAAACACAGCAAATTCAGTTAAATCAAGTGTATGTGCTTGAAGATAAGGTGATTAGATGAGCTGAGAGATGCAGATTCAAATCATGCCAGGCAGAATGGGAAACTGAACCTCCTCCTACTTCTTGGAGGAGTGCCTTTACTACTGGGTTTCAGAATAACAGAAAATGTGTAAACAACACTATCTGCTTTGTTTTCTAGCTTTCAAAGCGTACAAGTACCATTTCAGATTGAACAACGTGTTTTATTTGATAGGTATGGGGCTTTGGGTTTTTCCCCACACACACACCAAAAGAAGAAGAAAATAATAGCATTTACTTTGGCTGTTTTCTGAATCATTTCCCTCCCTCCTATTTGGCTGCTCAAGTGAAAAAGCAATCATATATCCATTCTCCAGTGATCTACTTCAAGCAAGGTTCCACTCCACATCCATTTCGGTTTGGCAGCCACAGCTGCAGAAACTAATTCAGCTAGAAAGTCCTGTGAGGCATTTATAACATTGGGAGTCTTCTTGCCATGCCTCCATTCACAAAGAAGTCTTCTCCTAGACAAACTGGCAAGACACAGATTGGATAGGTGGTCTGCAAGATGGGTAGAAAATTGGCTAACAGGCTGCACTCAGAGGATGGTGATTAATGTTTTTAACTTGGGTTGGCAACCTCTCACAAGTGCCCTCCCCCGATTGACACTGGGCTCCATGCTGTCCATCTTCACAATGATTTGGATGATGGGGGTTGAAAGCACCTTCATCAAGTTTACTGATGACACTAAACTGGGTGGTGAGGACAACCTGCCCTATGAGGAAAGACTGAAGGAGTTAGGTCTCATCTCTCTGGAGGAGAGAAGGCTTGGGGGCAGGGGGCTAATCTCAATATACCTCAATATATCTCAATCTCTCTTCACAAAGAGCCACATGGAGAAGACAAGGAGCAACATGAATTTTTTTACAGTAAGAACCACCAGTGACTGGAACCCAGGGATGTGACGGTAGAGTCCCCGTCATGGGAGGTTTCCATGCTGCTACTGGACAGTCTGTTAGATAACCTCATCTAGGCTCCCTCCCATAAAAGTTGGACCAATGATTTTTCCAGCTCCCTTCCAGCCTGGGCTGTTGGATGGTTGTACGATTCTCTGCACACATGCAGAGAATGGGCTCCCAGAGCCACCTTCGGTAACATCGCCCTGAAAAGGAACCTGAGCAGACCTACCATTTGCCAGCACACAGACCTGCGTGCAGCACAATGTGAGGTGTGCAAGCAAGTCTAATGCTCACCGGGCTCGCAGGGATCGCACAAAGTGCGCTGCTGTTTCTCACCGGTGGACACCGGACCCCATCGGCCCACTTGAACTTCTTGCAAGGGGCCGAGGGCCAGGTATGGGTGCTCAGGAGCGGCCTCACAGCTCCCCGAAGCCTCCGTGACCTTGGCAACTCGCGGATGCCGTGGCCCTCGCAGCCGGGACACGCCGGCCACGCCGGGGCCCGCGTCCTCCGCCGCCCAATCAGCTCAGTGGCTCCGGGAAGCAGACAAAGGCGGCGGGGCCTGCAAGAGGCGGCGGTGGGCAAGGAAAAGGCCGCCGATCCAGAGGCGCTGTGCGAGCGCCCGAGGCCCCTCAGACCGTCCCCGCTGCCACCGCCTTCCCCCGCCCGACCCTGAGGCACGGCGGGGGGCGGGGCCGGGTCCGCCTCACCGCGCGCTGATGGGCTCGCTCCCCGCCCAATCGCCGCCGCTCTGGCTCCTGATGGACATCCCCGCTGACCTATCGCCGCGACGCGCTAGCTCCCTCCCCGGCTGGGAGCCAATCGCGACACCGGTGGCGGGGGGGGGCGGGACCCGGCGCGGGGCGAGCTGTGTGTGGGGCCGGGGCGCAGAGCATCGCTCGGGGTCGGCGGTGCCGCCGGCTCTGTCCCTGCTCTCGCGTCTCCCTCACCGCCCGCCGCCCCTTCCCGCCTCTTCCCTTTCCTCCCCTCCTCTCCTCTCCCGCGGCCATGTCGTCGCCGTCGTCCGGGGAGCGGTACGAGGAGGAAGAGGAGGAGGAGGAGGACGGCGCCTACGAGAGCCAGGCCAAGCGGCTGAAGCCCAGCGCCGCCGCCGAGGAGGGCGAGATCGAGTACAGCGGCGCGGAGGAGAGCGAGGGCCGGCGGGATAAGCCCCCCGCGCCGCGCGGCGGCAGCGGCTTCTCGGGCGGGGTGAGGAGGGACGCGGGGCCGGCGGGCGGGGGGCGTCTCCCCTCAAGATGCGGGCGGGGGGAGGGGGCCCGTCCGGCCCGTCCCGCCCCTCCCGCGAGCGAGGCCGCGCCCGCCCCCGGCGCTGCTGCCCCGGCGGGGGGGCCCTGTCCGCGAGGGGGGGCCGGGGGGCTTCACGAGGCCTTCCCGGGGTCGGGACCACCAAGGATATGGAGGCGCTCCGGGCCGGGAATGGCGGGGGGCGCCGGGATGGGTCCTCTGCTCCGCAGACGTGCGCTTGTTCCTCGCCGGAGCTGCCCGCGTGAAGGGGCTGAGCCTGCGGATGGATGGATGGATGGATGGATGGATGGATGGATGGATAGATGGATGAATGGATGGATGGATGGATGGATGGATGTGAGGGATTTGGGGTCTGAGACTCAGGGATTGCCGGTGTTCCCGTTGGCAGCTGGGTTGCCTTTAGGGGAATATCGCCATTGCAAATTTTGTGCCTGCCCTGTTGCTGATCGTAACTATAGAAACATGGGGGGATGTGTTGAAACCAAGGCAGAGGGTACCTTTCATCCTTCCGCTTTACCTTTGTGTCCGGCAGCGTACAGTGATAAGGCTGCTCATAAACGATTGCCTCCTTTTTAAATTCATTTGTATTTCTACTTTCTTCCTCCCCCACGAGCACTGCTATAAGCACGCTGGTTCGCTATATTTTGTTTTTTGCGACGTACCTTTTCTTCATGAATATGCATTTGAGTATCAAGATAGCCTCGAGCCATGAATTTGGGCTAACAACACTTTTGTGTCTGCTGTTTGATTCCTTAACTAACTGTCTTGGTGACTCTTTCTGTTTCTTACTTGAACAAACCAGATCAAGAAAACGTCGGTTTAACGGCAGACCTCGGCATTTAGAATACCTGTTTTATGGTTTGTTAAAATGAACTTGCTTAGCGCTGGGATAAGTTAGTGAGAGAGCATTTGCTGTTGCCATTTCTCCATCAGTTAAATCTTTTGATGGAGAGGGTACCTGCTCAATTTGTTGTTGTGGTTTAACCCTCGCCTACAACCAAGCACCACACAGCCTCTCACTCCTTCCCCCCCCGGTCTGATGGGGGAGAGAATCAGAAGGGTACAAGTGAGAAAACTCAGAATGTCCCCTCTTCCTTCTTCTTCCCTCACTTTATATGCTGAGCATGATGTCATACAGTTTGGGATATCCCTTAGGTCAGCTGAGGTCACCTCTCTTGGCTGTGCTCACTGGTGGAGCTGGTAGAAGAAGCAGAGAAAACCTTCGTTCTGTGCAGTAAGCACTGCTCAGCAGTAAGGAAGACGTGTCTGTATTTAATCAACACTGTTTCCAGCACAAATACAAATTATATCTCATACTACAATGCAGAAAATTACCTTCACCCCAGCCAAATGTAGCACATTATTGCAAAAGTTCCCTGATAAACTGCAACAAAATACATCTCTGGAGAGAACTATTTTAGTTCTCCAGTTTCTTGTGATGCAGCATCGTCTCTGTTGCAGTCAAGACTTAGCAATGGCCTCTGTCTTAAAGGCTTGTGTTGTGTAGGAGAGCTGGACATCCTGCAGTGAGTGTTTCAAGTTGCAACAAGATTCTGCTCTGGCCTTTCCTCTTTTCTGCATTACTTTATGAAATCAACTAGTTCTTACCTTTCTCTTTTTCCTTCTTTCTGGGTTCTGGCTCAGAGTGTCTTCATGATGTATCAGTATCTCATTTTATCTGAGTTAATGTGCAGTAATGCTGCCCTGCCCCTTTAGGTAATGAGAGTATGGAGTATGTAACTTTACCTTTAGGCTCTCAAGAATGGCATGTGCTGAGTCTTGTGAGCAAAGAAACTGAAGCAAATGTGTAGCAGGTCAAGAACATGAGGGTTTTTAGGCAGCTTGTTGTGTCAGTTGTAGTGTACCTCAAGGAGGTACGTGGTCTGTGGGGATTTATTGGCAAAGCTGTGTTCCCAGATTCACTACTGGAGAGGCAGAAGTTGTCCTGATAGTAGAGATCAAACTAGTTTTTTAAAAGTAAGCTATAACATCAAGTGGATATATGAAAAATGAATGTCTGAGTGCTTTTGTTAGTAATTTTTGTGAAACATTTAATAGCAAAATGCCAGCATCTATTAAATAGAGTTGGTACGAATTTTCATTATTTTTTTTTCTCTAATAGGTACAAAACTGTACAGGAAACTTACTTATTCTGTGACATATCTTATTAATTTTTCTACAGGGAAATGTTCTCAGCTTATAAAAGTTGTATGGGGTTCAGACATACAAGATGAAGGTAGGCTGAGAGGAAGGAATAAGTGGAAGTATCCTGGATTGCTCAGAAGAGAACAGAAAAAGAATAAGTAGGAGGAACTATAGAGAATGGGGAACTAGGAGGAGAAATGGGAAAATGGATGACCAGGGTAAAAAGAGTGGTAGAAGTCTGGTAGCCTCACTGTTTGATTTTTTTTTTTTTTTTTTAATTTTCCCCTGACATATGCCCTGGAATATCAGTGAACTGTACACTCATATGGATTAAATGCACCTGTTGTATAAAAGCTCTTTTGTGGTAGGACCCTGCTGAGCAGGTTGGTGGGGTCTCCTTCCTGGGCTATATTTATTGTTGTGGCAGTTTCCTGTTCTGGGATTGTTTCGTTTGGCTGAATAAGACTTTCACGTGGACACTTCTCATAACCCAGATGTGTACCCTCTTCTTCATGGCTCATCTCCAGGCTGAGGAGCATGGAGAGCCAGGAACAGACTAGAATGTTGACCAGAGAAAGAGCAGCACGTGTTCTTGCAGAAATATTCAGTGAGGGAGAGTATGAATTGGAAGAAGGACCCTTATAAGAGGCAGTGTTGAATGGTAGTGAGGCTTTGGCAGAGGAATCAGAATTGCAGTGTAGCAGAGTGTCAGGACACTGGGAAGATGTGGGCTAAGAGCTGTGTTTAAGGGAGTTGAGGGGGCCTTTCAGCTCCATCCCCTCTCCTTCCCTTAAATTTCAGTTTTATTGATTAATGTTTTATTTATACAACCTGTAACATCCACTTCATCGCTGTCTCTAACATACCTATTCTTAAACGTTTCTGTGAGGTAGGGAAGATCTATTATACCTGTTTTTACAGTTGGGGAAGTGAGATGTGGTGTTTGAATACACAAACATAACTACGAGCTACCGCAAGGTAAGATAGGGACGTAAATGTGCAGCTTCTCATCCGCTCTGTTGAAACTTCCTGGGCAGTGTTCTTGCCTGGTGGTAAGTGGAAGGCAGCTCTCTTTGCAACTCAGTTGCTTGGTGATTGTCACAGACAGTGTGGTAGCAGCAGCTGGATGCAATGAATTCAGATCTTGACCTATTTTCCAGTGACTTGTTCAAGTACCTGTTTCTTAAATGAAGTACATCCTAGAAATTGGTTTTGGAGTAAGTGTAAGTCATCTTCCCTCCGTTGTCCTCTCTCTCAAAAAAAGTAACCATTACCTTCAGGCTAGTTCTTCTTCCAGTATCTCAGGTTGAATCTCCTGATCACACTGTGTTGTGAGGGGTTTTGTTTTAGGGTGGTGTTTGCTTGGCTTTTGTTTTTGGTTGTTTGTTTTTTTTTTTTTGAAGGATGTTCAGATTGTGCTGAGCAGAGAGGAAAATATAATAGACTATTTCATTTGGAAGGGACTTGCATCAATCATCTAGTCCAACTCCCTGACCACTTCGGGGCAAATTCAGAATTGGCAGAGAGCTAATATTCTGTTCTGTAGCAGTTGAAATCATTAAAAGTGTAGAATGCTAGGAATAAGTATGCATTAAACGAGAGAAATTATACCCAAACTCGTCATCTAAAATGAAACTAAACTGTCAGGTAGACTTCCAGAGTATGGGGTCATCAGACCACTCCCCGTGGGCAGTGCTGAGATTATCAGGAAATGTGTTGTGTACCTTCTCTTTGCCTTTTTAGTGCAATAATTTTAGCTACCTGTGTTACTCTGCAAGGTAGTTGGATGCAGATCAGTCCATAATTAGGCATTAATGAAGTTTTGGGCACTTATATACTTACTAAGCAACCTTTTAGGGCTTCCCCTCTCGGCCTCCAGTTCTGTCATATTTATAAAAGAAATTTCAAAGCAATTAAGAGGCATGCAGAGAGAGGAAAAAAGTTGAGAGTGAATAGGATAATCTGAATGGTGAGAAATTAAATAACAATATGTTTACGTACCTGGGGGAGAGAATATGAGAGAGGAGTGCCATCCTTGTGCAGTAAGGAAAAAAGAGAGATGGAGGAGGTAAGCAGTGAAAAGATAAAGAAGCAGATGCTCAAAAAAGGTATTACAAATTAGTGGGACTAATGTGAGTATACTGACTGGAAAGCATCTGGAGAAAGGGCAAAGGATGCATTTTTGTGCAAACAGTTGGTGAAAAAGTTTCAATCTAGAATTGATGAGCAAGAAAGACATCATCCTAGAGCCCATGATTACTTTCTTCTTTTTTGGAATGGCAGATCATAATTAGTTGTCAAGAAACCATTGATATATTTCAAATGTTGTCTAGAGCTATGTAGGTCACAAAAAATGGATGTTAAAATGCTACAGCCGTTCTTTGAAGCTGCTTCTGTTACAGTCTTACCTGTATGAAGTCACTTGTTTGTACTTCATCTGCTTGGTTATGTCAGTGCTTCCCTTTGTGCCTCAGCTCTGTTTCAAGGTTAAGCATTTTTATGTTCTTAGCTTCCTTCTTGAGGGAGACCTTTTCTGTCCTGGTTACTGGTCCTGAGCACACAGAAAGGAAGTCTGTTTCTGTTATCTATTTAAATAGTTGCATTTTCTCTCCAGCTGATGATCTTCAAGAAATTGTTATTGAGCTTTCAAACCCCCCTAAGCTGTATATATATGTATTAATGGTACAGCAGTAGCATCAGCTACTCTGTTCTCCTGGATTTGAGGGAATGCAAGGGTCATGGTGGAGTTTTGCCTGGGGCTTTTGTGCCATCATGGGAGTTGAGTGACTGCAAGACTCCTTTGTAGGCGGAGAAATACTGGTGGTGGTTTAGTCTGTACAGGAGCAGATGCTTTGATGTGACCTTTGCCTATGTGCCAGCTCGTGTAGTTTTCAAGGTACAGTGACTGTGAGATCTTGGTCAAAATCCTGTATTTTCCATCTCTGGAAAGAAATTACAGCAGCAGTTGGATGAGTTGTGTACATTCTGACCTCAGCTGTAGATGCACTTTACGCTATGCAGACACCTTTGATTTTTTCATGTGGTCTAGTGGTTTTATTTCTCCTTCTAGAGGAAATCAAGGATCATTTTAGATTTGCTTGATACTGCAGCTTTGTAGCTGCAAAACCTGTTTAACAATAACAGCCAGTATGCTCTGTGAATGTTAGTTTGAGGCTTCCTGGCTCAGGACTGACTTATGTTCAGTTCCTGTGCTGCTGGCTAGAAACTATTTTAAGTAAAGCAGAGCCCCTCTGATTTGGCCACCTCAGTGGTTTTATCTGTGTAAATGAGGTTCTGAAATGCTATGTAGGTAAGTCCTTAAGTTCATGGCAAGATTTCCCTGTTTTGTGTTCTTTTGGGGGGGGGGAGATTGTTGTTTGGGGTTTTTTTTGTTTGTTTGTTTGTTTTTTATTCCATGCTGCTTGAGCTTCTGAACAGGTTACTTTAGTAGCAGCAGCTTCTGATTTCTGCTAAATCTCTTACTAAACCTTGCTAAAAGAATGCTTTTCTGTATGATGTTATGGGAGAAAGAAGTTCGGCTTGGAAAGCCAAATGTTGCTTTAACCACAAAAGGTAGCAAAATTTGAATTTGTTGGTGGTTCTGAGAATAATTCAAATTGCAGAAGTGGGAACACCTGTATATGTGGATATAACTCCTGTATAACAGATTTGAAGATGCAAGTATGAAAGTCTTCATTTTTGAGAGAGTTAGAAAGATTTGTATCTACTAATACAAAGGGTTATGCATGACAAATGTGAACTGAAACTGTAACAGAAGTTTGAATTGGGAAGGGGAGGAAGAGCAAAATACTATTCCTTTATGATCCATTTTCTGAAAAGCTTGACTTGATTTCTGGAGGTACTAGTTCAGTAAGGTAGCGAGTAGCAAGTACTAAGCTGCTAGTACCTGCTAGTAACTCTTTCTAGTGAATCTTTGCTTCAGTGAGCAAATCATTGCTTATATTTACCGTCTGATTAGACAGAAATATTATTGGGTGAGATTTCTTGAATGTATTAAAAAACCCTAACAGAAAATGCATAGCACTGACTGGGATCTTAATATAGTAGCAGTTATGCAGGGCAATGAATAACCAGTTTAATAACTTTTGATTTTTCTGTAGACCGTAAATAAAGTAAAAGTGCCTGCTATCTTAACACCTTAGAGCAATAGGCTTTGCAGGAAAAAGTGGTAATTATTGTTTGTTTTCTTTTGAAGGTTTCCTTAGGTGCTTCTTTCTGCTTTGAAAAATATGAATGTAATTTAAGAATATATAAGCTGAAAATAAAACCTCTCTGTAGTTTTGTTCCTTCTGCAGTTGCCTAAGTATTTGGAGTTCAAAGTACTAACCTTTCATGACTACTTTGATCACTGCTGCTGCTGTAGACCTGAGCTGATTGATTCAGGATATAAATATCTTATGCCAATATCACTGGTGCTGTTTTACCAGCATTGTCAGAGTTCTTATTCAAAGAAATGTGTTGCCACTTAAAATGCTTTCATACTGCAAACAAATAAAATGTAAGCTAAGCTTAAAAAGTTACACAGCAGATTGTTCTGACATCTGAGGAAGTCTGAAGTGCTGGCTTTTGGCTCAAACAGAATGGTCAAATCCTTGACTTAAAGAAAAAAATGTGTCATTTTTTAGTGAGAACTGCATATGGAACACAGGAGTTAAACACACGATTCAATTTGTAATTATCTGGAATGTGTTTCTTTCCTTGAATCTGTTGTTCAAGTGGACAGGGAAGAGAGGAATGTCTAGCAGTAGTAGCAATCGTTGTGGTTACTTAATTAATTACTGGAGCTTAATGCTCCTTTTGCTACAGATGAGAATCTCTCTGCTATACTACTGTTTAAGAGAAAGTGAAAAATCAACAAGACTTGATCTGCTAGATTGAACACGTTGATGTAGTTGCTAAATTTGAATACATCAACTTTACACTGCTGTTACACATACGAAATTTGAGTGCTGGATATTTGCAGTATATTTTATCGTGCCCTTTATTATCTCTAATCTTTTTTTATTCTCTCTCATTATTAGAGTACATAATTTCTTGGTTTTTTTTACCCTCAGTGTCTTAAAATATATAAGGTAAATTTCAGCCTTACTTCAGGCTTTGCATGAAAAGATTAGCTGATTCCAGCCCAAATTCTCCAGTCACACTGAACACTAAGACTGTCTGAAGTCATGGCAGTAGCTCTGAAGAATGTTCATGCTAATGTACAATGTCTGGATCTGTTAATGGTATTCAACCTTGAGGTGAAAGGAGAGAGCATTGTGAGTCTTTAAAAACATGTATGAACAGTGTTCAGAATTAGAAGAATATTCAGAATTATTTCAAGTATAGTCCAAAACCGGCATTTTCTTGCATTGTGGAGCGCAGCTCTACATACATTAGAAAAATACACAATTTTCATTCAGTTTACTGATGGCCCTTGTTTGTTCTTGCTTTTTTTGTTCCCCCAACCTGTCTCAAACAAATACTGGCAGCAACAAACAGGAAGAGTGTCAGAAATATTTTAGCTATTGGGCATGTCCTAATTTTTTTTTATGCTCTTAATGAATAGGGTGTAAGACCTCCTGCAATTCAACCAGTGTTAAATAGGCCACTTCTTTTTATATTAGAAAAATCTTGTTTGTGCCAACAGATTAATTAAATCTGAAAAGCTTTTTATTTTAAGTAGACTTCAGCAGCGGAACTTGGCAATCTGTTTGGAAAGAAAAGTTAAATTATTTAACATGTGCTTAGGCTGTGCGTTTAGATGGCTGCTTCTGGACCTAGTGTGGTGTCTACCAAATTTAATTTTAGTTAACGATAACAGTATCTCTTGTTCTGTGCTGAATTTTAAAATGTCATTTTGTTGCTAGGATGCCGGGGGAAGTCATCACAAAGTCTCTGTTTCTCCTGTCGTCCATGTCCGAGGGCTGTGTGAATCAGTTGTGGAAGCAGATCTCGTGGAAGCTCTTGAAAAGTTTGGAACCATATGGTATGTCTTTGTGATGATTTGTTTAGAAAAAAACATGTCATGTGTGACCATTGTGGGGCTTGGGAGTTGTTTTGAGTAAGCATGTAGGGAAACTTACTGTGATGTTTCTCTCACCAGCTACGTCATGATGATGCCATTTAAACGCCAGGCTCTGGTGGAGTTTGAAAACGTAGAAAGTGCAAAGAAATGTGTAACATTTGCAGCAGATGAACCTGTGTATATTGCTGGGCAGCAGGCCTTCTTCAACTACTCCACAAGTAAGAGGATTACTCGGCCAGGGAACACTGATGACCCATCTGGTGGAAATAAAGTTCTCCTGTTGTCAATTCAGAATCCTCTCTACCCAATTACAGTGGTATGTTTCTTCTTTTATTTGATGTTTTTTAATAAAATAATACAAAGCAGAGAGCAGCAATCTCTGTTATATTATTTTCATTGTGTATTGTCTGTTAATTTGAGTCAGAAATTAACTTCACCTACCAAAGCTTTATACCATCTTCACATAGGTAATGTGAATGTTTTAAAGGGAAGGTTTTTTGAGATGATTCAGTGTTGTATGGATATTTCACAATACATTTGAAGACTTCTGAGGTTAGGATTTTGAAATGTTTTAAGTTGCTGCATGCTTCTGAAATACTTCCAAATGTGTTGCCACAACATCAAGATTGTTCTTTAGCCTTTAGGCTCTGAGTAGTGTATGTTTAAAGAGCAAGTAATTTTTCCAGCAAGAAGGGTTATTTTATTGCAGTCCTTCTTGAGTATTTCCTTTGTGGAAACTTGAAACCTTCATCTGTTGATGATCAACTCCAGTTTGATGGAAGCTTCCTATTTTTATTTGGGCCAATACATTTTCCTTTCCAGTATTTCAAGTCATACCATATATACAGTTGCATCCTAATTTATTGCCATTTATTTATGGCACACATACATGGATTTTTTTAAGGTACAGATTTTTTTTTTTGCTAGTATTTAAGAGTGTATGTTGTATCATGCATTGAATGCTTATATTTTTGGTAGAGATTTTATAGTACGTGTTGAATTGCACAGAAATGTCTCAGGAAAAAATTAGAAATTGTGTTCTATGATACAAGCACAAATTACTTAGGGAAGTATGTAGGACAGTATGGATCAGTCAAAGTGTTTGGGTTGTGTGGAACCATGTAACTTAATGCAAGTATTAAGTTTTGTTTAATGTGCTGTATATTATGCTAGCAAATTGATTGCAACTTAGTATTCCTGGAATTACCTCAAGTAGTCAGTTACATGTCGTGCTTTGTGCTTCAGTGTTTCGTGAATATTGATAGGTTTTTGCCTGTTGATTCATTAGTGGATGATGAATTTTCTTCTGCCAGTTTTCTTTATAGAAAAGCATGTCAAGGTATGAGTTGCTTTTTAGTGTTTAAAAACGAACCTGCTTGGAGCTGTGTCAACAAATCCACTAAGTTAAAATGTTCTTTGCACGTGACCGTGATCAAATTTTGGAAACTCTGTTTCACTCATGCATTTTAAATTTGCCTTGCATAAGCGGCTGAGTTGAACATAGATGCTTGAAGGCACTGGTGGCAGCAGCGTGGTTCTGGGCTAGGAGACTTCATGGAAATTCTGAGGATGAAGCCTCGAGCAGAGTAGCTCCTTTTTAAAAACAAACACTGCCTCCCAACCTCTTCCTTCCCACTGCACCCAGCTGTTTGCTTATCATATACCAATGAGTGCTAGAAGCAGGCAAATTTCCAGAATTACTGGCAAGCATCAGAGCTCATTGAAGACAGTGTAGTCTAGCAGGGTCACAGGAGCTGGGAAAGAGCAGCTGTACCTGTAACAGCTTAAGAATGTGACGAGAAAAACACAAATTTTGGACTTGGCCAATGGGCCAAAATTATGAAAGAAAGTCGTATGCCTGAAAATTAATGTCACTTGGGGCTGGAAAGTTTCTGGGAATCTTTTCTCCCAAACAAGAGGAGATGGAGGGCAGCCGATTGTGCTGTGGAGCGTGCATAGAAAATATACCTATAAATGATCTCATAGATCCTACTGTTTATGGGTTCAGGATGCTGGAATTCTTTCCAAAAATGTCCGTCCATTTTCTAAAAATATTAAGGTTGACAATCTCCTCTGTTTGCTTCATTTAGCTATGCAAAACACTCCACCAGAGTGTCTGGAGCAAGGCCCCTGAGTATGGCCAATGTTTTTGGTTTGTTGTGTGTGTTGGGGTTGGTTTGTTTTTATTTAGAGATAATATATTAAAGCTTATGGTACTTTCTAAGAGCTAGAAGTTACACTACTGCAGCTCTAGCCAGCAATAATACATACTCTTTTTCTAGTTTCTCCTTGTGTGCGTGGGGGGGTACGTGGGCTGTGTTTGTTTTAGTTTTAAGAAATCCAGCATGTCCCCTGCCCCTGTGCCTCCCAGTTGCTCCTCTATTCTGCAAAACATAATAATAAGTATTGTACCTACTTGCTTCCCCCTTCTCCCTCATGTCAGCCAAATAAACCTGAGGATATACCCCAAGATCCTGGAATGAGCATTTTGGAGGTATTTGGTTTAGATATAAAGAAAAGGAAGAAAAAATGGATTGCAGTAGAGTGTTTCACCAAGGTGTAGTGCCTTTGCCTGCTAGGTGTAGTTATGAAACTGGCTGTCCAGTAAAGCTTATGTGCTTTCAGCTGTTTGAATATGGTCTAATGGGTGAATTGTTTTCAGAAATCACAGTTCCTGTTTGTTTGGGTTCTCAAGCCTGAATCCTGGGAATTCTGAGTTTGGGTGTATAATCACTCTAAAATAAACTTATTTTTCTTGGCGAGATGAATGCTGGAGACTGGTTTCTGTTACGTGTAATCGACTGTAGTTTGAGTTACTCCCAGCACCACATCCTGGGCTGGCCTGATGTGCAGTAAGGCGACCTTTACCCCTTACTGTTTGGTTCCCCTGCAGCACTGAGGATGGTCTTGAATTTTATTGGTTCCTTGTAATACAGACAAATGCTGCTGAAAGCAGAGCGTTAACAATGGGTTTGCATGAATCCAGTCATGAATTTGCTTTCCTGTCAGAAGTTTTCTCTGCCTTAAGTGAAGAAACATAGCACCTGGACACTTGGACTGTCTTTGATTCAGGTGAAAACGATTGAAACTCTCTTTCTGATAAGCTACCCAAGTTTACATCTTGGACTATCCCCGGTTACTCTCTGAAAATGAACATGAACTCAGCTGCTAGAGTCTCATGAAATGAAATGTGCTGTAACTACAGTGCCACTTTGTTTCTCTTTGCTTTGGTAGACCAGCTGCAGTGCAGGCTTCAAAGGTAGCAGAGCTTGAGACATGGATGCAATTACTGGGTCTTAACGCAGTTGAAGATACTTGTTAAACTGATGTTTGCATGAGTACTTCATATAGGAGTTTTTTTCTTGGTTTTCAGATTTGATTGCCTGTATTACATTAATCCATAAAAAATGCTAATCATGAATGTAAAAATTGTATAGAGGAAAATAAGAAATGAAAAGTTAACAAGCCTTTTCTTTGCTCTTTGGCATTTAAATGCCAATGTTCTGTGGACCGAAAGTATTCGGAATTTCACATCTGACTAAAATATTTTTTTCTATTTCCTTAGGATGTTTTGTATACAGTGTGCAACCCTGTTGGAAAGGTTCAGCGCATTGTTATATTCAAGAGAAATGGAATACAAGCCATGGTTGAATATCCTTTTTGAGTGCAATTTTTTTTTCTATAGGTTCTTGGTTCCAGATGGGTTTAACGTGAGAATGTCAGAAAAATACCATGTAATTTTGAGACCAAATTATTTTTAATTTCTGTCTAAGATGTGGTAATTTCTAATTTCTGTATGTCTGTAAAACAAGGTAGCACTTACACATGTCATCTTTGTGGGAAAATGGCATTGTCAGTCGTGGTCTTGATAGCCATGTTTATAGCCCCTAAGGCTAATAATTGCAGACACAAAATATGTCATAGATTTGACAACCCCTTGTACATAAAAGTTTCATGGCTTCTGCCTGTGTTGATACTCAAGAAGTGGGTAAGGGATTGCAGGGATGCAATTTGACTTCAGACTCTTCTAAATTAGTTCCAGCATGTACTGCTTGTCTTGCTATTCTGACTTCAGTAAAGCACAAGACCAACTTAGGCCTCCTTTACCCCGTTCATCATGTGTTGAAGAAGTTCCCTGCTCTGTTATCCTACTCTTTACTCTGTGATATTAAGTTGTATGTGGGTTGAGTCGAATGTTCAGGGTTGTGTGTTACTGGCGTTCGCAAAGTCTAAAGTCTGATATGATTATATACCTTCACTTATAAAACTCTGATAGCCATCTTTCTAAAGGCTGATTACTCTCCATTTTTGAGCTGTTATCTGGACAAAATTTACCAAAATCTCCATCATTCCTTTGTGATTTCAGATGCTACTAATTGGGCAAGCTTTATTAGTTGAGTCCTTTTTGTAAAACAGGACTTAACCAGTGGCTGCACTGGTGATTTCCCAGGCAAAGACAGCTACCCTAACTTCCATAAAAGCAAACTAATTGCTATTTATGTAGAAGACTTAAACAAACTATGTGTCCTAACAGATAGTAGTTTGACTTACTGTATTTGTTAAGTTTGTGGTAAGTGATGTTGTCTGGATCAGATGACTTGTACAGTCAGGGCTTATTCTGTGTCTTGTGAAAGATTAGGGAAGTTGTGTGCAGGATCCTCCCCACACTTGGAAACTGTCATACTTATGTCCTTTGAATTAAATTCTGTAACGTGCCTTTTATTAAAAACAAAAACAACCAGCAGTTGAAAGAAAACTCACAAATACAAGTGAGTAATGCAGCAGCATTACAAAAGTAAACGGGGGGAGGAGGAAAGTGAGCTTCAAGACAAGCCTTATCTGAAAAGTTAAAAAATTTACTAAAAATTAAATGCTAATTGCAGTACCCATTACTTTTGCAAATGTGCTCCCACAGTTCTAGCCAGTGTCACTTCCTTATAGGTCTGGGAAGCTTAGCTTTTCTCACTTTTAAATTCCACAGTGAACCTGCATCACCTTGGAAGAAGTTGGGCCGCAGGAATGTGGTAAAACTCAAGGCATGTGCTATTGTTACAGACTACTTCCAAAACTTCACTAAATGATATCAAAGCATAGTGCAAAAGGTCTGTTCTGCTGCAAATGTCAGGCTTTCTGACACCATGTGTTATTGAGTGTGTATGAGATCATGGGTTGTGATGTGCCAAGGCTCAGGTACATTTTTCTGTTAATCATAGAAGTAATCTTGGAGTACATAGAGCATATGAAATAACTTATGGGTTGGAGCCTGGTACATGCATCTACCTGTTGTATTTCTTTTGGTGCAAAATGATGATTTCTTCATTCAAAGTTCTCTTAGTTACGTGGTTTTATTTGGCTAACAAGCTAAAAGGATGTACACTTTCTTAGTTCGTTTTGCTGTAAAGTAACTCTCTGAGTTCATGTTCTCCCTACCCACAAGTCTCTAGCCAATGCTGTGAGAAGGGAAGCGTTGTCTTAAATCACACCTTCTCACACCAGAACTCTGACTCCTTCCCGAATGATGCAGCTTGAACTTTCCCATCAAATATTCTCTAGACTTGCTGGTAACTCTCCGTGTCTTCTGATGAAAATTACTAACTGCACCAGAATCCCCTTCTAAATGGCATAAGATCAGAGCATAAACAAAGCTTTCATCCATATAATCCACTGAGGAATTTACTAATTTATGAATGGTGTCACCGTGTGCTGAGCACATCTTTTCACATAAGTTGAACCCAAATGTACTTTTTGGTCATTGTTTATAAATCTGTATGGAGTTCCTGTAGTGTATACGAAAGTGAAATATCTGCAGGCTACAAAAATAAAGCCGTATCAGATAAAAGGGACATGATTGAGACACCTGAGGGAAAAAAATCCTTAACATGATGTGTATGTTTGAATCAGTGTTTTGTGCCCAGAAGGCGAAGGCTGCACTCAATGGAGCAGATATCTATGCAGGATGCTGCACACTAAAAATTGAATATGCAAGGGTAATGCTTGGACCTTTTCTTTTAATTTTACTAGAAAAATATATATAGTCAAGACTTAACCTTTTTCACTTTTACTTTATTTGAACAGCCAACTCGACTTAATGTCATTAGAAACGACAACGATAGTTGGGACTACACTAAGCCATATCTGGGCCGACGAGGTAGGTTTTCATACGTTATCCCCGTAGATGTTTGACTGTACTAATGACAATCCTTCACACGTGGTCAGGCTGTATGGCAATAGTCATTCCAAAGCAGGCCAGTGCTGCTGAAGGCTGTGTCACCAGCCAGGGAATTAACCCTGAGCCCTAGTGCCCCCTACTGCCGTGTGCTTGAGCCACTTAGTTCAACAAGGAGCCCACACCTGCAAGCACCTTCGCAGTTCTCAAGGACTTGCATTTCTCCAAGCAGCTCTCTCTCTTTGGAGGAGAGGAAACCTGGCACAGACTATTCCTTATAAACTACAAACTTGCACACTGCTTCTCCTTCGAAAGGACTCTTTTCCCCTATGTTGGACAAGGCATTAAGAAGGATAGAGGACTTCAGCAGGCTGACTCTACACTTCATCATGCACCACATCGGCATCAGCAAAAAAAACCCCAAACAAACAAACCCTCTGAAAAAAACTCAGACTTGCAGTTTACCTTGTCTGCATACTGCATGCAACACCACCACAAGTTTTTAAAGGAGGACATTTTCAGTACTTCAGATTTGTATGGGATGAATAACATGATAGACTGTACCCATTCTGTTAAAGCTTGTATGTATGCTGGTCTTATTTCCCTTAAAATTACCACTGAAAAATTGAGAACATCCAAAATTAAGAAACTCTTGTTGATATCATTGACATTGTAATCTTTTTATTACTTGCTGTATGTGAGAGTTGCATTCAGACCTAACAGTGTAAATATTGTCTAGTAGTAGGGAAATTTAATTCTTATATGTAGATAGTTGGAACTGAGCAGTGCAATATCATTAGCCCCCCCTCAGCTATACAAAAGTAATAAAGCAGGGAGATTCATAATTGGTACTGTCTCTTAAGTACTCAGCTGTAAAAGTTACCAGAGCTTAATTCATGTCAGTGGAATCTATGATTATATATGTACAGTCAAACTGCTGTGTAGCCTGACTCCTGTAAAGTGTTTATTTAAAAGAAGAAAACAAAAATCTGTAACTATTGAGTGCAGTGTTCAGTTATCTATGTACAATAATGTGTTCAATGTAAAGTTAGAAAAGTGAAGATAATGTGACCAAGATAGAGTATCTCCTTACCAAAGGCTATATGAGAACCAGGGCTTCGCTGTCTCAAGAGATATGCACTTTCAAAGTAACTCTGCAGAGACGCTGGGCTTGTAAAACTGTTGTACAACTAAAAACTTAGGGCTTGGATTTTCAAAATGAAGTTCTTGTAAAAAGTTAACAAGGGAGCTACAGTATTGGCTGCAGCTTGTAGATTATGACTATTTGTATTGGGATTCAATTTTTTTTCTCAAATTCTTGAGTTAAAAATAAAGGGATTCTGAAGAAACTCAAAACTCAAGGGCAAGAAAAAAAATCTGAAAAATTTGAAGGATTAATTTGACCCTCATATCTTTTGGTTATTGCAGTGTTTGGAGACTGACTTGTAAGATTGTCCATCTAATTATATTATGTAATTGGTCTGCAGATAAGTATGGCTGTCTGAACTTAAGGTTCCCCCAAATTGAGCAAACAGTGGAAAATGAAAAACTTAGGATAGGAATGGCTTGCTCTTTCTCAAGAACTCTCATTCTACTCTTTTCCTTTTGTTACTTTCTCTATTCTCTATACATCACCCTGCTACACGTAAGAGGAAAAAAATTAGCCTTATATATATCTCATTGTATATTGTATATAGCATGATTTTTCATTTACTGGTGGTTCACATCCACTTATCTAGAAAATGAGAATATAAATTGTTGAATGAACACTGAAATGTACTTGAGAAAGCAGACATCTAGAGCAATTTTGCCCACAAAGTAATTCAGGAGTTGGGGTTTTCATTGAGAGAGATCCAGTGTGTTTTTGTATCTGTGCTTCAACTTACTCTTGCAACATCATTGTTTGGGTTTTGAACTTCACGGGTCCCAAACTGTAGGGCTCTCACTGCAGGAAGATCTTAGCCCAAAGGAATTTCATTCCAGGGACAGACATGCTGATAAATCCTTTCAGATTTTCACATCTCCCCTTCAAATGTTAGGAAGGAAATGCATTTTGCTAATGACTTCCTTTTTTTTTTTTAAGAACTGGTTTCAGTGCTTTATGGTAACAAATTACAGACTTGCACATAATATTTCTCCACTGAAGTAAAATTCCTTACAAGTGCCTGCTGCTATGAACCCATATTGCATTAGATTAAACCAAACCCACACCTGACTTAGTATTCTCCTTGCCTTTAGTCAGAATGTTCAAACTATAATTTGGAGCATTTCTTTTGGTGGTAATACCAGCACAGTCAGTGACTCAAGGACCTGATTTAAAAACAAACCCAAAGATCAACAAAAGCAAACTTAAACAAGATTATAAAGAACCTTTCCTTTCAGAATTATTTTTAACACAGAATGAGTTCTTATGTATGTTTCTGTGCTTGTTTACACAAGTATTTGTACTGGCACAATCAAGGGACTTTGTTCAAGGAAGAAGGAACAAGTGTAGGGCAAGGAGAGAGCAGTGGAGTACACTACTACAAGGAGGAAATATTTGTCAGACTGTTCTCCCAGAATTCTTTATTTGAAAAATGTGATCCTTTACTGGATTTTACTGGGGGCAGTTTCAAAGGATTTAGCTCCATAGACTGGAATTACAGAACTGATTTTTCTGAAAGATGATTACTACATACAGTTTAAATGCTCAAAATATGACACCCCTTTGCTTTCTAGAGCCACGAACCAGAGCTGTTACCCTGAAAAGGGAATGGAAAAGCAAAACTTGACAACAGTAGTCTCTCTTCTGTATAGTTGAAAGTGTTCAGGACTGTTCTCTCTTCAGTCTTTTTTATCAAAGTAAATATCTGACTTGGAACCTGTCCTCAAAATCCTGAGCAGAAAGGGCACATGTGTTTTCATCTCCCACTGTTGTATAATGCGGATAGTTCCTGTTTTTCAGGGGAAATACCTCCAACTGCATTGGACTGGATTTACTATTTTCAGCAGTCATACTTAAATTTCCTGGTAACTGTTATAGACTGATAAATGTCTTGCCCCATCTTTTCAATGTGGCTTTTTTAATTGTAAGAAAACAATCGTTGCTTACCGCAAAGAAGTCTGGAAGTTTAGATTTTCTTTGTTGTGCAGCATGGATCTTATTAGAAAATACAGCTTTGGCTGTGATGCATTGGTTTCCTCCATTAATGTAGATCCCTTGCTTAACTTTATGTCCTAGAGAACTGGGTTTTCTTAAAGGATTGACTGTTTAAGTGCATTATTCAGTGATATTTTTCTTCAATTAAACTGTTACGTGCTGCTGATAATGCCATAATGTACAATCCTTTCAGCACGCCCATAAATCAGTAGGTGTTCTGTAAATATATATGTACACATATGTAATGCTCTCTGTTTACTGATTATGAAACCATGTAATACAGGTTGTTGTTGGCTTATGCTGAAACTTCTTGAAAGAAGCCCACTTTGAAAATGTGTTGCTGTTGAAGCTAATATTATGATTCAGGTACTGTCTTTCAAAAGTACTGCATTTCAAATTTGTTTTAAGAGACACATAGGTAAATTCTGCTGTATGGTGTTTTCTATACTAATGTGTGGTGTCTGTTTAGGAAAACTATTGGGTATTTCCATAAACTTTAAATGTCTGCATCTCCTCATTGGCCACTGCCCCCAATCAACTTAAGTGCAATTTTGTTATACAGATGGCAGTCTTTTTTAATTTTGGTGTCCCAGGGCTACAGCTTGTGGTTTTAGACATACAGTGAATGAGAAATCATTTATAAAATTAACAAGGACTCAGATTACTGTTTTGCTTCTTAACTAGAAGCTTTGTGTCTTAACTGGAGAAGTCAAGTGCATAGTTGTGATTACTAAACTGTTTTCTTTCCCTTCCCACATGTTAGACAGAGGGAAGGGCCGGCAGAGGCAAGCTATTTTGGGAGAGCACCCATCATCCTTTAGACATGATGGTTATGGTAAGTGACGTAAGATGAAAGGTGGTTATGATTTCTTTACATGTTGTGTGGAATTCTGAATATTCAATCAATGCTTGAAGGTGGATCCCTTCAGCATGAGCAGTTCACCTGCGGTGCTGTCAGTCCTACGTCCTGAAAACACTGTTGGTTCACTGAAACCCATGCACATTCATTGCCTTCCCTCTTCCTTTCATAGAGAGCATCCAGCTCTACGTATTTATTGCTTGGAAGAATGTTTCCTTTCAGTTGCCATCAGCCTAGCAATGGATAGAAAATGACAAATGTATTGGGAGAGCAGTTTCCTTGTAGAAAACAGCAACATAGCTTGATCAATGGTTTGATGCAACACAGAGCTCTGACGCTCTTGCATGCAAAGCTATGACTTGTAGGTGCTGTGTTTTTTCTAATTCAGCTAATTCCGAAAAGGTATAGCTGTGTGACTGTATAGGAACGATGGTCTGGAATTACTGCTGCAGTTGTTACCAGTGCTTTCTGTAGATGAAGGTCTGTCTGGACCAAGACCTCAGGGTTGAGAAACAAATGTTCCCACCTACACATAACTTTTCTAGTTATTTTCTCTCTCAGCTGTCAGATGCAATGTGATGTGCCTTGCCTCTTTCTTTGCAAAGGTGTTTATGATATTTTACAATGTAGGTTGACATCCTATCTACTCTTTCTGAAAGGTTCTTCAGATCTCCAGATTTTCCAAGTTCCACCTTGATTCAGTGATGTTCTTTTTTCATTCTTCTGATATATCCTTTTGCCTTAAGTAATGTGTCTGTCTCCTCCTATATCACTGTCTCCTTGTCATTACTGCTTTTTGCTGGGCAAAAAAGGACAAGAGGTTCCTTTTATACTTAGCTTATGTGAATTTCACATTATTTTTGTCTCAGGAAAGCAGGGATCCTCCTCTTGGTCTGTAATTCCAATGTTTTCTGTAAATAGAGGTATTGCTTACTAGTAGTGTCTCATCATTTAAACAAAAAAAAGAAATTGTCTCTTTCGGTGAAACTTGTCACTTTACCTGTAGTGGAAAATTGGACTGCTTCATTTTGCATTAATGTAGGGGGTTTAAGTATTCCTGTTTCTTCCAAATGAGCATTTTGTAGGAAGGCAGTCTTCTGACTTAATCTCATGTCTCTGGAAAAAAGAGCTGTGTCATCTCTCCTGATCTCTGGCTAAAAGTTCACTCCTTTTGGTTAGTTTTCCCTGCTCTGTAATATTCTTTCTTGGTGTCATGTAGCTCTATAAGTAGACATGGGAATATTTCTGAAGATTGATTTTAAATATTTCTTCCAATATGTTTATGTACAAGTATTTTGTATGGTGCAGGGAAGATACTATTTTTGTAATTACTGAAATACCTGTTTTCGCTTGGATATATCTTACCTGGTAGTGTAAGAAGAGACTTGGAACATTAAATTGAATAGAAGAGGGTTTCTTTGTTTGGTGGTTTGGGGTTTTTTTGTTGTTGTTATTGTTTTTGCTTTGTTTTGTTGTCTTTAAAAGGGAAAAAGCATTAATGGCAACTACCGTAACCTTCAACGTCTCCTTTAAATATGCATTATGTATGTGGGCTTAAATGCCTGATTAAGTAGCGAAGCTTATTTCAAACAATATGAAAACATGGTCTTTCATCTCCTTAGGATCACATGGTCCTTTGTTGCCCTTGCCAAGCCGGTACCGAATGGGATCTCGGGACACTCCAGAACTTGTTGCTTATCCATTGCCCCAGGCATCCTCTTCTTACATGCATGGTGGAAATCCTTCTGGGTCGGTTGTCATGGTCAGTGGGTTGCATCAGCTCAAGATGAACTGTTCAAGGGTATTCAACCTGTTCTGCTTGTATGGAAACATTGAGAAGGTAAGGCATCATTTATTAGAAACTTGGAAACTACTACTTTTAAATGCTTTGGCAAAACCTGTCTGAGATGGTCTAAAAATATTACCTACTAATTTATAAAACTATTGGTTGGGCTGTTTGTTGCAATGTCATTTTTTTTACCTTATCTATCTCAGGTGAAATTTATGAAGACTATTCCAGGCACAGCACTGGTGGAAATGGGTGATGAGTATGCTGTAGAAAGAGCAGTCACACATCTCAATAACGTCAAGTTGTTTGGAAAGAGACTTAATGTCTGGTAAATATGTTTTATCAGATTAATAGTCTACTAGTGAGCAGATGGAATGAGATTTCAGACAATATCTCATTATTCTGCTGTCATTGTTGGAGTTATGATTTCCAATTTCAGCTGTTTGTTTTGGCTTTCAGCTGAAGGAGGGTGAATTTAGATTCGATGCTAGGAAGAAATTCTTTACTGTGGGGGTAGTGAGGCCCTGGCACAGGTTGCCTGGAGCAGCTGTGGATGCCCCATCCCTAGAAGTGTTCGAGGCCAGGTGGGATGGGGCTTTGAGCAACCTGGTCTTGTGGAAGGTGTCCCTGCCTATGGCATGGGGGTTGGAACTAGATTGTCTTTAAGGTCCCTTCCAACCTCAACCATTCTGAGATTGATTTATTACGATTTATAATTTTATTTATTTACATTAATAATGCATATTGGCATTACATGGATTGGCCTTTAGTAAACTGTATTCCCTAATGTGTCTTATCCATCTTTTCTGTATTTTTTAAGCAAGGTGTCAAATCCAACACATCTTGTTCTTACTGTATTTCAGATTGTTACAAAGAAATGTCAACTCTGTTCCGGTTAGATCAATAATCTGCAATTATTTAAGAATCTTAATTATTTAAGAAACTTTATCTATTTCTATCTATCCTTAAATTCCAGTGTTTCCAAGCAGCATTCAGTAGTTCCAAGCCAGATATTTGAACTAGAGGATGGCACGAGTAGTTACAAGGATTTTGCAATGAGTAAGAACAATCGCTTCACCAGCGCTGGCCAGGCATCTAAGAACATCATCCAACCACCCTCCTGTGTGCTGCATTATTATAATGTTCCCCTGTGTGTAACTGAAGAAACATTTGTAAAGGTAGGCAATTGGAATGATTGGCATAGAGTGCTTTTGGGCTCTATCCCAGCTTTACATGGCGCTGCTTTTAAAAAGAAATAACTGGGGTGGTTATAGCATAGGCACTGGAGGAGAATCTGTTCTTTAAAATACATTTGTAGCCCCTCTCTATAGAAGATGCGATATTTTCACAATGCTGGAGTTACTCTTTCAATTTTATTTATTTTTTAATTTATTTTTTTTAATGTGAGAAACAAAATCCTGGAAATAAAGTTGAAGAGCTTAATGTGGTTTTTTTTTGTGGAGGAAAGGGAAGAGACACACAAAACCAAATACATGAAAGTTAGGACTACAATTCACAAAAGATTTACTGATTCCCTGAGATGGTTACTGTAACGACTGCTAGGATGTTTTGGAATGGAGAGAAGAATGCACCTGGAACACTTTGCACAGTTGAGTCCTAAATGAATTCTGGATGCTTAAAACATGCAATACTGGGCCTCTTAGCTGGAGGCAGTGGTAAAATTGCTGACAGTTCAGTGAGTTCTTTTTCAGTTCAATAAAAATATTTTTTTTCCTGACTCTGTCTGAAAGTTAACTCTGGGTCACAAGTGGTGTCCTTGTGTGTACAACGTCTGAGCTACTGTATTAAAGTAGGAATGTCAAAAATTAGAACTTACTATCTAAATATGTTCTTTGAGATAGTAGTGATATCACAGATATAGGAGCCTTGTTTTGTGTACTAAAGAATGGTATTCTAAAGAATAATTTAAATAAGAATAATCTAAACATTTAAAATAATAACTTGCCATAAATTCTAAACTCTTTGAAAGAGTCAGTATTTTTGGTTTTGTGTGTCTCTTCTAGGAACTTGAAATTTTTGCTAATGTATTTATGTGCATTTTTAATGGAGTTTTATGTCTTATTTTATTTTTGTGACAGTTATGTGAGGATCATGAAGTTCTCAGCTTTATTAAATACAAAGTGTTTGATCCAAAACGTAAGTAAAATTTGACCTGTTTGGGGAATTATTTGAATTCCAATTGTGATCTGAACATATGCTGCCAGGAGACGTTACTGATCCCCTATTTCCCTTTTTTATTTCTCATTTGGACAGCTTCTGCCAAAACATTGTCTGGTCTGTTGGAATGGGAATGTAAGACGGATGCAGTGGAAGCTCTCACTGTACTTAATCACTACCAGATAAGAGTCCCAAGTAAGTAAATTTTCCTATTCTTACTGCTAGAAATTTTTTTCTGTGGAGAAGGACTTGGTGGATGAAAAGCTGGACATGACCCAGCAATGTGCACTCGCAGCCCAGAAAGCCAACGACACCCTGGGCTGCGTCAAAAGCAGGTCGAGGGGAGGTGATTCTGCCCCTCTGCTCTGCTCTGGTGAGACCCCACCTGGAGTGCTGCACCCAGCTGTGGAGTCCTTGCACAGGAAGGATTTGTTGGAGCAAATCCAGAGGAGGGACACAAAGATGATTAGATGGCTGGATCACCTCTCCTCTGAGGAAAGACTGAGACAATAAGGATTGTTCAGCCTGGGGAAGAGGAGGCTCTGAGGTGCCCCTATTGCAGCCTTTCAGTACCTTGAAGGGGACCTATAAAAAAAGAGAGAGCAAGCGACTTTTCACATGGGCAAATAGTGATAGGACAAGGGGTAATGGTTTTAAACTAAAAGAGGAGAGATTTAAAGTTTAGATGTTAAGAAGATACTCTTGACTGTGAGGATGGTGAAGCACTGAACATGTTGCTCAGAGAAGTTGTGGATGCTCTGTCCCTGGCAGTGTTCAAGGCCAGGTTGGATGGGGCTCTGAGCAACATAATCTAGTGTGTGACATCCCTGCCCATGGCAAGGGGTGGAACTAGATGATCTTTAAGGACCCTTCCAACTCAAATCATTATATGATTCTATGATTCTTTCACAGTAAATGGAGAAAAATCTTGAATGTCTTGGGCAGGAGATTCTTTAAGTTACTCAGCTTATTACTCTGAATTTACTGCTTCTGTACTGGGTTCTCTTTGAAACTAGAAACTGTGAGGCCCAGCTGAATTTAGCTCCAAACTAGGAAGAACAGAGCAGGGGGAGTTCACCTGCCGAACAAATACACAGTAGACCAGGTCTGCACTGGACAATTAAGATAGTTTACTGGATTAAATGGAATTTTTCCAGGTGTTCACAGACAAAACATTGAATCCAGCCAGTGTCTAATACTATTCTAAACTACTTTCTCCAAAGTATTATGAGTTTTTCTCCCTGTGAAGTATTAACAGTTTAATCTTTCCTATTCTCCCACATTTTTGGTCCACCATCTTAATAATAGACTGAGATTACTTTGGGGCAGAATATTTTCGAAGATATTATTGATAACATACTGTTCACAATTTCATTTTTTTCTCAGTTTGAAGAGGTGGTAACAGCAAAAGATCTTTCTCTTTCAACAAGAAAAAGGGAAACCTTAATGCATAATCCCAGATACAGCTATCACAGGGAAAAGCAGTGTTTTAAACCAAGAACTGCTGGTCCAGACTTGCTGTAGTAAGATAGCTGAACCAGGAGGGCTTAGCTTCCACTATCCGAGAGGCAGATGTGTGCTGCCATCTGTGGATCTTGACACCTTTTTCAAATGAGAGGGGTTGTTCTATGCTTTGCTTTCTGGAGAGGCCCGAAGGGTGTGCTGGACATCCTGCTGTTCTTTTCTCAGTCAAACACATGTAAACACTGTCCAGTGCCACTCTGGTAGAGCTCTGCCTCATTTTAAGTCTTGACTTCCTTAAATATCTGTGCCTTTTGTCTTAGAACTCTTTTGCCTATTGAATACTACTTTTATAAATAGTTCAGCCAGGAGGAGGGGCAGTGATAATGGCAAATTCTTTCTTGTGTATAGTACAGCATTTGGAGTTTGATGTATATTACCTTGCAGCCAGATCCATCACTTCGTTTTTATGTCTAAAAATGCTGGTAGAGTATCAGTAACATCTACTAACAGGTCAGCTGGTGTCTGTGGGACACTGGTGGGGGTAGGCAGGGAGGTGTGAGTCTTAAATATACGGAGTTGGTGAACTTGTCAGGTTATGGAAGGTGATGTTGATCAGCAGGAGAGCCGGGCTCCGCAAGATGCCCACAGTCTGTTCTGTGTTGTCTCCTCACAGATGGCTCCAACCCGTATACCTTGAAGCTTTGCTTCTCTACTTCATCCCATTTATAGAGAAGAGGACAGCATGTTAAGAGCTACGTTCACCTCGATTTGCAAGTTTAAAACTACACTTCGTTCACAAAGCTCTAAAGTGGTTGTTCTAATGTTGCCTTGTTTCAACTTAATTCTAATATCTTTTATCTTGTTTTATAATAAATGGATGTTCCTTCATAAATACAAACCAGATTTTTTTCTTTTTGCCTCTGAGAAGTACATGTTGTAAGCTTACTACAAAGTTTGTATTTTGTTAGTGTAGTATTTTCAAATGTCTAAAGAAGCATCAGTAGTATAACCAAGATTGTTTCTTTTAAAAATCGAAATATATTTGCATTTTCAAAATGTTAAAGATTAGCAAGTATTTTTCCATTTTTAATCTTAATTGGCAGATAGAACTATTACATCAGAATTTTAAATGTAGGACTTGTTTTTCAGTATGTTAAGTAGTGAAGTATGTTGCAATACTAAAAAGCTTGTATTTATAAAATGCTTTGATCGGGTTAATGTTGCACATACTGAACTTTTAGTAGTATAGACTTGATTTATATTTCAAACAAAGCTGACATAGAAAATTTTAAAGTATGTACACATGTATGGTATGATTCATACTTATTTAAAGTGGTTTTGTTTGGTTTTTTTTTTTAACTATTTTCCATTTGCATTAGCATGATGCCATCTATAGCTAGTTCCACCGTAGGGGCCTTTTAAAAATTAAAGTTACAAGCCTGTATCAGTGTGTTCATCCTCATTTTCCATATTTAAACTTGAATCTTTGGTGTTTAACATATCCTTTTGACTCTTTTTTTAAAGCAGTGTTTATGACATACTGAATGGTAAAAGTTGGGTATATGACAAGAAACCAAGGTGGTAGAAATAGTTAAAACAAAAAGCAAGCCCCACCATACTCTCTCATACCTGGACAGTTAATTCAAGGTTTTCTTTTGTCTGATTTATCTTAAACATCTGTTATGACCATGAAAGAATTCATAGGGTGGATAGTCTTGGCTAGGCTGTATCTTAAACTGAGGTAGTCTCAGTGGGATTCAGACAATGATAACATGATGTAAAATTAACGAGGCGAGAAATCTTTCACTTTGGGGAAGATTATTTGTTTTGTCCCAGTACTTTGAAAGATCTCTTCTGGAACTGGAGTTGTATCTCATTTGGGTTAAACCCCCAGAAATGGGAATCCAAGCAGGGAAGCCTGGAAGCTGTTGTCCCAGGCTCTGTGTTTGTTCCCCTTTCTGAATTTGTAGCAAAGTGTTTAGGCCTATTTCAGTTCTGCTCTTAGTTGTCAGAGGGAAGTTACTTTATCAGCTATTTTATACTTTATCATACAAGTTCTTTTTTCTATCTTTACACATTTTATCTATATCCATCTTTTAGGCAAGATGGTTTGTGCAGTGTGCTTGTCCTTGGCAGGTTATGTTGCAGCATGTTTATAGGCTGTGGCCACTGCACGTCTTTCAATACAGACTGCATTTTCCCCATTCTTAATTTCAAGGCAAATACTCCTTATCACACAAGGGAAAATGTGTCAGATGTCCTTCAGGTTTTCTCATCCACAGTGATTCATTTTTGTCCTGTCTACCTCCATTTTGTTCATGCTTTAGGTAATGAGTATTTCAGGTATTCACATCAGGCTTCTAATAGGTCCAACCTGGGAACTGAAGCACAGCTGCTCTTTGGCAGCTCTTTCAGCACAGAGTTTGGAGTAATGTTAGCCTCCTGTCTGGGAGGTGGTAAACTGAGTTGCATTTTAGGGGCACTGCTAATACTCTTTCAGCTGCAGTGCTCTTCCCCCAGAAATTGCTTCCAGACGCTTCCACTTGTGTGCCATATGTTGCTACTTGCCCCAGAAATGCTGGGTACTATTGAAATGCTCTGTGCTGCTTAGTGTTTTAACTGTAAAAGGTCTCTCCCAGTCTTTCATTGCTCTTCCATAACTTGAATGTTCTGTGGAAACCTGTTTCTTCTGTCCTAACTTGCATTGCTATTTGTATTAATGTAGTTTCAGAAGTCAAGTTGTTTGTAGTTGAGCATTAAAAATAGCATGTTTTCTGTTGGTCCAGTTTGCAATGTGGGATGAGTGACCCTTAAAACATTCAGGTTTTACAAAAAAAAAAAAAAAAAAAAAAAAAAAAAAAAAAAAAGAAATGCACTTTAATGTTTTGGTGTCCTCAGTGGATCACAGCATTCAGTGCCTAAGATGTTCAGGTGAAAGGCATCTTTCCTGTGGCTTCCCAGATGAATGAAGCATAGTTCTGGGTATGTCTTAGAGGACTTGATAACAACTGCAAGTCCCATATGCAAAATGAGTAGCCTGTGCCGTGTGGGGCAGAAAAGAAAGGAGACTGAAAAGTTGTGCAAGCTACTTTCTCCATAAAAGAATCATCTTACTCATGTATTCATGAGAACAGGAAAGATTCCTTGTTGGTGTTTTGCTGTTAAAGGAAATAATGTCTTCTCTTGGGCCTGCAAGGATGGATGCTTGTCCTCAGGAGGGAATGAGATTGGTCTCCTTCCACACATGACATCTGTGTTCACTTTTAATCTTGCTCTTTGGAGTAGAGACAAAACAGTGGGGCAGGTGGAGAGTTAGTTGCTCCAGGGGAAGTGAAGTTTGTCTCATTTGGCAGCAGCATTACTGTAATTGTTAGATTAAAATTAAACTTTTAAGGTCTCTTAATGCAGTTTTTTCCTGTCTCTTTTGCATAAGCCATACAAGCAAAACAGTGAACATTGCTATGCACATTCCCTGCTTGTAAGCAGCTGGCATTCACTCTGTAATATCTTCGTGTCTGTCCCACTGTTTGTTTCTTGGGTTTCCTTTGTTTGTGAAGTTTTGTTTGTTTTTCTAATGAGTCACCTTTCATTGGAGGTATATGATATATTGAGGTGGAGATCTGTTCCTCTTCTCTCATGATACTCTAATCCTTGTTTCTATTTATTTTTCCGTATATGCAAGAAGTGGGAAGAGTTGTTTTTTGACTTTCTATACCACCACAGTAAGATAGAGTGTATTGCCAGGTGATATAAGAGAAGATTTAAAAGAAACAATGGAGAAGGTGTTTGGGTGTCCTGCTTTATGAAAGGAATGATACAACTTAATGTGGTGTCTGTCTTTTAGTAAGGGATAATCCTTGGGGTAAGCTGGCTTGTTACTGGCTGAGCCCCTTTTGTTGTAATTAAATGCAACTTGCTCCTTTTCCTGCTGTGTGTTTTCTTGTGAACAGTGCTTGAACTTGTTTGAATATGGTGGTGGCTCAGCAGGAGACATTCAGTATCTTCTGTTAAATAATACATGGAAGTCTGGGAACATGAACATGCTTGCTCAGTAATTATTTTTTCACTTCAGGGATGTGTTTAAACATCTTTTTTTTTGTGCCCTTCTTTAAAAATACCTTGCATTCTCACGTCTGTATCTACTAGTGGGTTTTTTAGCCATTCCTGGGTTTTCTGTGTATTTTATGTCTATTTTTATGTCTAACCAGTGTGCTGGTTAGGATGACAACAGAGAGAAGTATGCTGTGTGACTGATTTGTTGTGAAATTCAAGGGTGAGTGGAGAATCCTATCTAAGCAAGGGACAAGTGGTGCTGGGAGGAAGTCACTAAGGAACAAGGGGTGAGCACAGTTCACTAGATCTGTGTTTCTCTCTCCCAGACTGTGGGGCTGACAGGGGTGAGAGGTGCATGTTAAACTGTAGCAACATGAAGTGATCTGATACACAAGATCTCACCTGAGGAGTCAGGTGTGTTTTATACTTCCTTCATTTCTACCTTGATGCCATTTTTGTTCCTAATTGTTAAGACCATGTGTTTTAAGTTAATCTCGGCTCTTCCCAGCCTACCTTTGCTTCTCTACAGAATGGTCTGGCAGTGGACTGAGATGTGAGAAATGTTAGTAGTATTCACCAGGGAACTCTTGAGCTGCGAAATACTTGCTGTCATTCTTCACCTATAAAACAAGAGTTTTCCATTTGTTTTCCTTGCCTGTTTAAACTTTATGCATGCTGAGGGAGTAGCAAGGCAGTATCCTCTCTGTTGCACCCTTAATACTGATACTTGTGGAGAGGAGTGATCAGATGGGCTCCCGTGATAATGTGATGTTTCTAGCATGCCAGTTGGGTTCCTTAAAACCATAGTCTGAGATAAAAATAGCCTGAAACAAGTAGCTGTTCAGGGTTTGGGATGATGAGGCCCCCAAGTTCTACTGCTAATGCAACTGATTTGATAAAGGGTGAAGGGCTTCCATTTCTAGACAGCTGCATTATCAAGTTAAAAGAGCAAAATATTTTTGTGCTGTTAAGTCTTCTAATGCATAATACTCTTTCCCTGTTAAAAATAGAAGATTTCTTTCTCCAGGAATTGTAATTCCCACAGGATGTGGAGAAACTTAATGCAGCCAGATTACTTGTGCTGTGCTTTTGACCATGGGTCTCTAAAGGAAGTAACCTTAGTCCCTTTTCTTGTGTTGAGAAGGCCTTTGTTATCTGTCCTACGCCAAGCCTTTCTGTCTTGACCTTTCCCAGCCAGCTCCCTGGGCTAGAGCCATGCATTAATTCCATGCTCTTGTGACTGTTGCAGCTGCCGATGCATGGTCTTAAGTTCTGGCATGATTTATTTAACTTTTCCTTCTCTGGTGTTCATGGAGCAGCTGCAGACTGAGTGGGTCTTCATGCAAGGGAATGAGTCCTGCAGGAATGTGCCAGGGAGCCAGCAGCTATGGCAAGATAATTAACACTCTTTTCCAAAGCATCTGGGATCCAGGAAAACAAATTAGTCCTGGCAGGGGCAGTATAGCAGTATTCAGAAGGAAACACTAAAATGGGCTTGTAGCATGGGGGGTGGCCAAGGTTGGCAGTTGCATCAGAATACAGGATGTAATTACTCAATTTCATATAGGGCATTATCTGTTTATTTTCTCTTGCCACCTTTTCCTTGCATTTGTGGTCTCATTCTTCTTCAAACAACTAAGAAAATTAAATTGTTTATGCTCCACTCAAATTCAGCTGGGTAGTAGTTAAATAAGCCCCCAGAAGTTATTAGTTGGAGTGCTTTTCACTGAAACTCTCTCCTAAAATTTTTGTCTTTTGGTCTGTTAACACAACAGACTTTGGATGTTTCAGGAAGCACAATTTGTATTAGTTGATGCTTTCTCTATCATCAAAGTGTAAACTTCTGGCCATTTTAAACTTAATGGCGTGGATGCAGGGATTTGCATGTTATATGGATTATGCTTCTGTTTTCTCTTCTGTTAACCACAGCATTGTAGCTGCTAAATCAGATTCAGTCAGTGGGCTTTAGATGAGCATCCTGTCAAAAGGCTTCAGAAGTGTCTAAGAAATAGTCTGGTCAGGAAGCGACCTGGGTAATCTTTTTTTTGAAGTTACTGCATGGCTTCTGTCTGAACCATGGTAACATAAAACTTCAGTACTTTAAGGTGGGAATCCCACTTACTGACCTTTTTTCTTGAGGTGGCGCTTTAAATCCAAAACAAACTCCTGAATTCTGAGGACAGAGCTCAAACTGGAATATTTTAGTTACACTTAAATATGTTCCTCTTGCCCAAGACTTCTGTGGAGATTTTTCATCTTTTTGTTGCCCTATAGGCAAAGACTTGTATGTGCCTTTTAAGGATCCTTTATATGCCTCTAACTCTTCCTTTTTGTATCCTTTTAACGTGAAGCAATGAGAACTAACTACAGGATTTCAGACCAGGACTGAGCTATTGACTTATTTCAAAGCATTTCAGAGTAACATGCTCTCTAGTCTTGCTT